GTTCAACCATTGTGGAAAGCAGTATGGAGGTTCCTCAGAATGCTCAAAATAGAAATACCATTTGACCCAGGAATTCCACTTCTAGGAATTTACCCTAAGAATGCAGCACTCCAGTTTGAAAAAGACATATGCACCCCTATGTTTATTGCTGTACTACTTACAATAGCCAAGATATGGAAGCAACCTAAATGTCCATCAGTAGATGAATGGATAAAGAAGATGTAGTACATATACACAATGGAATATTACTCAGCCATAAGAAAAAAACAGATCCTATCATTCGCAACAACATGGATGGAGCTAGAGGGTATTATGCTCAGTGAAATAAGCCAGGCAGAGAAAGACAAGTACCAAATGATTTCACTCATATGTGGAGTATAAGGACAAAGGAAAACTGAAGGAACAAAACAGCAGCAGAAGCACAGAACCCAAGAATGGACTAATAGTTACCAAAGGGAAAGGGACTGGGGAGGATGGGTGGGAAGGGAGGGATAAGGGTGGGGAAAAAGAAAGGGGGCATTACTATTAGCATGTATAGTGCGTGGGGGGCACGGGGAGGGCTGTGCAACACAGAGAAGACAAGTAGTGATTTTACAGCATCTTACTACTCAGATGGAGAGTGAATGTCAAGGGGTATGTGGGGGAGACTTGGTGAAGGGGGGGCGTAGTAAACATAATGTTCTTCATGTAATTGTAGATTAATGATACCAAAAAAAAAATGTGCAGCCAATGTTAGAGCTCTAAAGGAAGTCAGTCCCTCAGATGATGGGGAATTGACAGTGAAGGGCTTGGCAGGCCTCGTTTTTTTCTTCCCAGCTCATAATTTTATAAGGTGTGGCACGACAAAAACTATGACATATCGCATAAAAAAAGCCACCAACCCCACCCCCGCCCCATTTCCCGGAGAACATGGCTCAGAACTCTGGGACCTTGGCAGGTTTTGAAGCAGAGCTGGTGCAAGGAAGCATTACGTGGCCTAACAGCTCCTCCCTAAGACTCACGTCTATACGACCGAGAGCCCCTGGAGCCGGGGACTGGCCCGGAGAATGGCAGATTCCTGAACGGCACAGCTTGGGGATCATAAGGATCAAAAGTCTGAGGTGCCTCGGTTGCCGGGCTGCGGCGGCCGGTGGCGGAACGGTGTAGCGGGGCCCCCGGGCCGGCGGCGAACCGCGGGCGGGGGAAAGGCGGCCGGGAGGGCCGACGCCGCTGACGGGCTCGTGTGCAGCGGCAGAGCGCTGAGGAGGCGTCGCCGCCGCGGGAGGTCGCGCCCGCCTGGCGGCCCGGGCGGTGCTCGGTGAGTTCGCGGCGCCCGCCGAGAGGGCGGCGCTGCAGGAGCGGAGCAGCGGCCGCATCGAGGGCCTGTTTGGCGTGAGCCTGGCTGTTCTTGGCGCTCTTGGGGCCGAGGAGCCGCTGCCCGCGCGCATCTGGCTGCAGCTCCGCGGGGCGCAGGAGGCGGTGCACAGCGCCAAGCTACACATTCATGGACTACTGTTCAGCATAGCAAAGAAAACTGAATGTAAGAGAGCTGAACTAACAGAAAAACTGCTATCCAGGTCTCGGACTGGCCACTGGGTAGCGCACCTGCAGGACAGAACAAATAGCACTGCAGAGGCTTTAAAAACTGACAGCTCACAGAAGGCTGGCTGCAGCTTGCAGCCTCTAGCCTAGGTAGATTACCTGCTAGAACAAAGGTAGGATTTAAACAAGACCCAGAGTCTCATAATAATGCAAATGGATACAATACAAAATTACCTGGCATATGAAGAACCAGGAAAATAACTATTCTCATGAGAAAGGCAGACACCAATGCAAGATAACACAGATGTTGGAATTATCTAGCAAAGATTTTAAAACATCTATTATTAAAATGGTCCCACAGGCAATCACAAATACTTTTAAAAATAATAGAAAAATAGAAGGTTTCAACAAAGAAACAGTAGATATTAAAGAACGACACGGAAAGGTTAGAACTGAGAAATTCTATAACCTAAATAAAAACTCACTGGATAGCCTTGATTTTAAAATGAGCTGGCAGAAGAAAGAGTCAGTGAACTTGAAGACAGAACAATAGAGTTACCTAATCTGAACAGGAGGAGTAGGGCAGAGAACGGTGCTAAAAAAATATTTGGAGAAATAACAGCTGAACACTTCTGAAATATGGCAGAAGATGTAAATATTATGATTCAGAAAGCTCAGTGAACACAAACAAAATTAATTCAAAAAATTCCACACCCAAAACAACATAACCACACTGCTGGAAACTGAAGACAAATAAAAAACCGTGAAAGTAGCTAGTGAAAAACACATAGGAGAACAACAACTAGAATGAGTACAGATTTCCATCAGAACTCATGGAGGCCAGAGAAATAGCAGAATATTTTTTACATGGTGAAAGAAAAGAACTTCTAACCAAGAAGTCTTCAGTGAAGTTATCCTTTGAGAATGAAAGTGAAATAAAGCATTCTTGAAACAAAACTAAAGAGAAATCATTGCCAGTAGCCAGCTCCAAAAGAATTGCTAAAAGTTTATAACATTGTCTGATGGGATTTCAAATGTATGTATACATAATTTATGAGATAGCTACAAACAAGAGAGGACTGGATAGGTAAAGGAACCTGTATGAAAGGAACCTGTGTTCTAAAATTGGTGTGGATTTTAAGTTACTGAGGTGACTGAGTAATGGCATGGAGAAGTCAGTATCATTGAAAGAAGATTTTGATTACTTATATTTCCCAAGAGAAGGGGGCATGCCGTGCCACACAAAGCCAGAGGTGAAGCATTAGGCTTTGATCAGGAGGCAGAAGCAGGAGCCAAGGGGAAAGGCAAAGCAGAGCAGAATAAACAGTTTAAGATTGGTAGTTCCAATAATTCTGTTGGACTTTGGGGTAAAGGAACTTCCCTTAGCTGTCTGCTACCTGGCCCTGGCTTGATTCAGAGCAGGGGAAATAGTGGCTTGGGGAAGTGTGTTAGAGAAGGGATAGGTAGGAGCACAGCATGGGTAAGGCAGTCTCCATACATATATAAGGAAGGAGAGAGGAAGGATTGTCTTCTTCAGCCACGTCTACTGGAACTCAAAATGTGGGACAGCACTGAAGCACCAGTCCTAAGCTCCTGGACTTTCCCTATCCCCTCAGCCCCGGCTCCAAGCATCATGGAGCTCTCCTCAGCACTAAGCAGCCTGACCCTCCCAGGCTTGGAGGGAGAGCCTCAGGTGAAGGAAAGCATGTTTAATGATATAAGAAATCAAGCTGGCTCCCAAGGTGGAGAGGTGGGATTCAAACACCTTTGAAAGAGACCCAGTCCATCATTTGACCAGACGCTTCATGAACATGATAATCTGGCATAAATTAGCCCAGCTAGGAAACACCCACTACTTTCCTACAGAATAAACAACCCAGGAGCCCATTGGCCTAGACCCCCTGCAAAATTTCTACCCAGGGTGTGGGCTCAGGGTCCTAGGCTTCCCGCAGTAAGAAGGACCTGCTGCACCAGGAATGCATTTGTTAATATCAGATTACAGGACAACAGCTGGATCCAATTTAGCTGCAGAACACTGACGCAAGGCCTGGTCACCCACCAACACCCCTCAGGAGGGTCTGAGCCTGCCATTCCCTTTTCCACGGAGATTGATTTGCTGCAACTCACTGGGCCCACCCAGCCCCCTTGCACCTTCAAAGCTGCCTAGGGAAGGAGAAGTGACCAGACCAACTGTCAATCCAACCTTTGTTCCTACTGACTTGTCTTCCAAACTGTCTCTCAGGTTTTCCAAAACACTGAAGTGATTTCCCCAGGAACATGGTGACAGGAAGCTGCAAGGCTGTCTGCCTACATGGGTTTTTGGGCTCCAGGGGTAACATCTCCATCTCTGCAGAGGGACACATATATAGTCATGCTCCCTCCCCACCCCACCACACAGGTGTGTGTACACACACGTGCCACTCTCTAGCATCAGACTTCCATCATGCCCTGCGCTTGTAAATCCCAGACTCTCAGAGCACGTAGAGTCCACCCCTCATCATCCAGAGAGGGGTAGGGACTTGGCAAAGTTCAGCCAGCAAAGTAGGCCTCTGGTCCCAGTGCATTCCAATGTGAATAAATATTTATTAATGATAATAATAACAATGTTTACTGGATGCCATATTTATTTATTTATTATTTGTGTCTTGTATGCATTTAATAGATTTCCAAAAACATACATACATGTGTGTAAACAAGGATGCTAGAGGGGAAGTAGGTTCAGAAGATGCAAGGAAGTAGCAGGGATTGTAAGGAACAGGACTCTGTCCTAGAAGGGGAATGGCACTTAATTAGGTACCAACTATGACTTCATCAAAAAATAATCTCAACCGCAAACTCTAGACAGTAGATTTTCCATGTTTGGGGTATATGGAGATTATCCAATTCATTTCTTGAAAGATAAAGTCTGTTACTTTGTATAAAAGATGTATGGAACCAGAAAAAAATGGGCAATTGTCATAGTATTTAGGAAGATACGAAGAGAGAACCTGCACTTTCACATCATCATACAGTGGTGGACAGCTGACCAGGTTAATTATTACTCTGTCTACTTCAACATCATGAGTTATCATATAGTTTTCAGAAGCAGAACAGAAAAAGAAGGTCTTTTTATTGTTGTTATTTGTACTTTTAGATCATTTCCGTTGCCTTTTCTAACACCATGAATCAAATAAATAATCAGCTTTTTTATTGTGAGTACTTTTACTTGAGGGAGAGTATAGTTGTAGATATTTTTCACATCTGCAAAATATCCAACATACCTGCTCTGAGAAGGAGTTTCTATCCCCTGAAATTTAGTGCTGATGCTTCTATCTGCTCGTCATTCTCCAAAGTGATAAAAGCTGTCCTCTGCAGTTTTAAATATTTCACTGGCAATAAAGCAGGCACACACCATAGTTCCAGTTCTGCCTTTGTCTCCCTTACAGCGAATCACAACGATGTTTTCATTATCTTGAGCCATCCACTCATCTACTTCCTTGGTGAATGCCAGCATCTTACTCAGAGAGGGGACATTGTGATCATCAATCATTATTTGTTGGGCCCTATAATGGAAATACTTAGGATCATAATCTCTTTCACTGCATAGATTGTAGACTTGGTAGTGGTTGCGATGCTTGGTATCCAGGAAACGTACAACTTCCTTGATGGGATTCCTATAAAAAGACGCCTTCCCAGAAGATGGGAATGACAATACGTCCAGTAATGTAAATGAGATCTAAGTCAAATCCATCCTTCTTGTATCACCATTTACTTTCTGAAACCATCCTTCTGGACAGTGTTTCAAGATGTCTTTTTTGATAAGCCAGATGAAAAACTCTTATCAAAATGATAAGTTGTAGTGCTGGGCATAGAAGCCACAGGGCATAAATCTGCAAAGAAGTAAAAAGCTAACCTTTGCAAACAATATGGCTTCTCTCTCACTTACCAACTTTACATTTCCCTGTATGGCCCCGGAAGATGACTGGTTAGCCAGAGACGGGTAAGATTCCTCAAGGGAGGAACAACCTAAGACAGGCACAGTCGCAGGGGGGCCATCAGGTGAGAATTTGGGGATCAACAGAGGTGAGGCTCAGAACCTCACCCCCCCTGCTTTGAGAGAAATCTTCTGCATCCGTGGATGTCTTGCTGCCCTTGTCTAGCCTGGATTAATACTTAGTCCATAGGCACACACCTGATCATCTGATCATCTACATTTGCCTTCTTACAGCACTAAACTATGTTTTCTACCTTTATCTTGCATCTACCTACCACTTCAGCATTTTATTAAAAATAAAAATAATAATAATAATAGGAGAAATGTGGGATCAACATATAAATCAAGTACAAAAATCAAACGAATATTCATATTTGACCTGATTGTTTATAGGTCATATTGCATGATCAAAACCGAAAGTTTCTGTGATGAATGCCCTTGTACTGTTCACCATGTAAGAATTTATTCACTATGTAAGAATTCGTTCACCATGTAAGAACTTGTTCGTTATGCTTCAGAAGATTGGAGACTGACGAGAATTAGGCTTGAGATGGATTAATGATTGTACATTGAGCGTTGACCCCCCTATACTGAATTTTATTGTTGTTAACAACCATTTGATCAATAAATATGAGAGATGCCCTCTCAAAAAAAAAACAAAAACGATAAGTTGTAGATGTTGAAATAAAATTGCCAGTCTGGTACTATCTTTAAGAACATTAAACTCATGAAAAATATAAACAATATCAACCAGTAAAGTTACCACAATAATGACGGCATCTAAAAAGTTAAGTATATCAGAAAAATAAGATTGTATCCCCTCTTCAAATACTTGAAGAATGTCCATTTAAAAAAAAAAAGCAATAGCTAAAGAAATTGAATGAAATGCCAAAGGAGTATACATTGTGTTATCAGTGACACTTAGGTCTGTAATGATTAGGGACAAATTCACAAAGGTCAGCAAAACTTCAAATATTCTGAGTGCAAAAGATGCTACAATTAAGTGCACAGTCCTCTGAATCACACTATCACATGAATCAGGAAAATCGCTGTCTTCACCACCATCGTCAAGCTTGGAAGGTTGTTCTATTTTACTGTCATTCATGGCTCTAACACAGATTACTTTTTCCATCTCACCTGAATCAGAGTTTGCCCTGGAGATTCCCTCAGAGGATACTGCTGTCAATTAACCCAGTGCAGTGTTTGTGCTCTAGAGTCCCTCAGAGGAAACTGTTGTCAAATCACTCAGTGCAGAGTTTTCATTGATGATGTCCTTACTGGTCGCTGATGGGAACTCATTCCAGTCAGAGCTACTGAAGACATTCTGGCTAGAAGACACAGCAAAGGCTGTTAGAGCCTTCTTATCTTCATATGCACTAGGAAATCAATGTCTTTGTCACCATCATCAGGCTTGGAAAGTTTTCTATTTTACTTCGTTGACAGCTCCATCAGAGATTACTGATGTCAATTCATCTACATCATTCCCCTTGTTCTCACTGTTGTCAGAGGACCCTAAAGAGTCACCCATAACTTTATTTTTTTCCGGACGCATGAATCAGAGTTATAAAGGGCCTTTCTTTAATTTCTGTGTGTTGTCATCTTGTGGCTGAATTTAATCTAGAATTAATCTGTAAATAGTCTTTACAGGTGGACAGGAACACCAGCTCACGCTCAGTGGGAGTAGGAATTCCAAGCTCCGAGGCTTCTGCCTTTTTTTGTTCCACAGAGGCGGTGCCAAGAACTCAGACAGGCCAAGGTAGAGAGATTTCTGGGATCCCCTGCACTCTACAAGGCCAGGATCCCCTTACGTGATGCTCCTACTGGCCAGTACTGGAATAGAACTCTGTGTCCATGGCAACCCCAAACAACAGATTCCAGGTGGTCCTGAGATCATACACTTGGTTGAGTTTTTTTTGTTTGTTTTTATTGAGGTATACTTGACATATAACGCTGCATTAATTTCAAGTGTATAACATGTAATTTGATATTTGTATATATTGGGAAATGATCATGACAATAAGCCTAGTTAACATCCATCACCATAAAAAAAAAAAGTCTGTGGTGTCTCACTCTGCACTCATCACAAGTTAACTGGGGTAACTTTGGATTCCGGCCAGGGGTGGGAGAGTCACACTGCTCCTTCTTTTACAGGCTTCGTGACCATCTGTCCTTGTTTCCTCTGTTGCATTTGTCTCGGGAGAATCCCAAACCATTCCAGTATAAAGCAATCACAGAGTCACGCACCGTCAGAATGAATGGGCACTTAGAGAGCATGCAGTCATCACCAAGCACGCTGTTAAAGTGCCTGCCGAGAAGCTCTAGGCTTTTCCTAAACAAACATTTAATGTTATATCTTCATTTGAAATGGTGACAGATGGAGATTGGAGGATGGCAAAGAGTACAGAGAGGCCATGCAGGTTTAGATTTTGAGTGTATCCCCCATCCGACCTCCACCTGAGGGAAGATGTGTCAAGGCCCCACAACGACCTTCAGGTTCGGTACTTTGCTAGGACTCACAGGACCTAAGATTTATTACAGGGAAAGGATTCAAAGCAGAATCAACAGAAGGAAAGGTACACGGGGCGAGGTCCAGAGGGACCTGGGAGCAAACTTCCAAGGGTCCTCCCAGGAGTAACACTAGTCACACAGGCTATACTTAATTCCTCCAGCAATGAACTGTGACAGCACGTGTCAAATGCTGCCTACCAGGGAAACTCACTAGAGACTTAGTGCTCAGCATTTTTATTGGGGGCTGGCCACACAGACACCCTCTGCTTAGCACATACCAAAATTCCAGACTTCCAAAAGGAAAACAGATATTCAGCATAAACCACATTGTTCACACAGTTGAGGCACCATGAGCCACCTTTACCATCTAGGGAAAATTTCCTATCTGTACAGGGAACTATCTGCCAGCCAAGTTCCCCAAGGTCAGCCAAGGGCCAACCATGCATAGTAGGTCCTTCAAAGAAAAAGCAATTTCAGCCCCGCTGTGTTAACTCTTTCCTGCACAGAAAGAAAATCCCATTTCACCCTTTATTCTGTTAGAATTTAGCATTGCCTCAATAAGGTAGATGTGATTTCTCATAAGTCCTAGACCCACATTTCTAATAGGTCATCTCTACTAGAATGTCCTAAGATACCTCAAACCCAGTATGTCTAAAACTGAACTCCTGATACCCCACATTCTGTCTCTTTTTCTTGTGTACATTTTCTTAGTGACCAGCTCCTCTATTTCTGTTACCAAGCCCAGACTCATGCCACTCATGCACAACATGCCAATAAGTCAAGAGACAAGGTGTTGGGGCAAGGAAAGCAACTTTATTTGGAAAGCCAGCAGACCGAGAAGATGGCGGCCTCATGTCCTAAAGA